ATTTTATTCTGGGCCAGCTTTAGCTCTGGCTCTAGCTCTGAGGCTTCGTATCTGGTTTGTTTGCCGTTCTATAATTGAAACAATGTATAACTTCAGCTCTGAGATCCCGGCAGGCTGAAAGCTGGTTTCTGGAGGTTTGTTTAGCTTCTTATTTGCAACATAGTACATAGTTGCTTAGAGTTGCAACTCAGAGGCCGGCAAGTCTGCAGTCACTGGAGCAAGCCTCATGCTCGCTTCCAGCTGCCTGGCTGCCGGCCGCCATCTTGGCTGACAGTTAATTTGCATAAGGATATGCTGATTAGCCAATGGGAAGGGTAGCGGTCGTACGCCAATTACCATGTTTCTCTTTTATTAGTGTAGATATTCTGATTCCAATGTTGTTTTTATACAGTTCAATTAGATTTATCCACCAATTTATATTCTTACATTTGGTTCCTGTAACCCACTTCCCCTTTCTGCTTTCAACATCCTTCTTCACAATTATATCCTTTATTAGTTTTTAGTCTTACTTTTATAAAAATGTTTTATTTTGCTGAAAGGGAATATAGCTGAACACCCACAATTGTGGTAAAGCAGTATGAAATACTGACTTAAGAGGAGCAACTCATACAATGACAATACTTATCTCTGTACGGCAGTAAGCAAAAGAAAATACAAAAGGAAATAGATTAGAAAAATATCCAGCCATCTAACTTTCTAAATTAGGTCTCATTAAAAGGAATAAAATAGAGAACAATAAAAAATAAAAATTAAAAAGGAAAAAAAATAAATTAGGTCTCAGCATGAATTTAATCAATTGTGATACATACATGTGAAAATTTTTAGAATAGAGGTAACAATAATGCAAATACTAAATTTCAGTCTTAAGTTACATTTAATTTTGAGGAAGAGAGGACATATTTTAAGATTTGTACCAATGAAGAGACAGAGGAAACAGATGTAATAACCTTTAACAAAATAATATTATAAAGAAAGGTGAACACAAATGAGTTTGAACCCAGAATAGAAAAAGCCATTCATTGTTCCCCCTAAAAAGCAACAATGTAATATTTGCTAATTTTATAACTGACATGTCGCATTACATTGTTGTAATGTATTCTGATAAAGATAATGAAAAAGCTTGCTTGTCAAACCTTTGTTGCCAAGGCTGCTGGGAATGGATGACAAATACAAAAAAATTCTATCAAGTTGAAGTGATGCAATGGCAACAACTTAAAAAATATACCAAAAGTAATTAGGAAGATTATATGCAATTTGCCATATTTCAGGTTTCATAACTGAGTGCCTCAAGCCAAATAGCAGATTTATTTCATTTCTCATGGTTTAAGCATTTCACTCATACCCTACATCAAAGAAAGTTTACCTTTTTATTCCCTGAAATGTACTGCTAGCCATGTCTATGATGCCTCCAGTTGGTCTTGCCACTGCTCCAACTAAACCTTTCCCAACACCTTTAAAGAAACCAGCTGCTCCTTCTTTTTGAGCTCCTAGAAATAAAAAAGACAAAGCTTTAGGCGATTAGATTAAGAGTGAAAATTGAATCAACTTGTGAAACACTTGGTAATATATATCACCTAAAGAAACTATTATACTTGCCTTTGATTGGTTTTGTAACAATTCCTGTTATGCCACTTACAAAACCCTAAAAGGAAAGCACAATTGAAAATTTATAATACTTTCACACAATGCCTTGACGAACCAAATCTGGTTTACAAAAAAATAAAAATACAGAGTTGTGCTTTCTAGATACATAAGAATTAATGTATTTCCTAAATATTTTATTTAAACAGAATGCTTTTGGAGATTACTGACATATTTTATATAGGCCACAACACACTACTCCTCCAACATGCAAATAATACCTGAAGGAGTGTAAGTTATATATCTATTTCCTTATTTAAAGAATATGGCTTTAAAATATATTTCTGCCCAGCCAGCGTGGCTCAGTGGTTGAGTGTTGACCCATGAACCAGGAGGTCATGGTTTGATTCCCAGTCAGGGCACATGCCCAGGTTGTGGGCTCAATCCCCAGTAAGGCAGCCAATCAATGATTCTCTCTCATCACTGATGTTTCTCTACCTCTCCTTCCCTCTCTCCATTCCTCTCTGAAATCAACTTAAAAAACCCCATAAATCTTTAAAATAATTATCTATATCTATCTATTTATCTATCTATCTATCTATCTCTCTCTCTCCTACATAATAAAAGGCTAATATGCAAATAGAGCGAACGGTGGAACAATGGGTTGCTACGACCAGCACTGACCACCAGGGGGCAGATGCTCAATGCAGGAGCAGTCCCTGGGTGGTCAGTGCACTCCCACAGGGGGAGCGCCACTCAGCCAGAAGCCTAACGCAGCGGTGGTGACAGGAGCCTCTCCCACCTCTGTGGCAGCACTAAGCTGTCAGCTGGACATCCCCCGGACACCCCCAGCACAAATTTTGTGCACCAGGCCTCTAGTATTTATATAAAAGGCTAATATGCAAAATGTCCCCTCGGGAGTTCAAACAGGAGACCGAGAGTTCGATCGCTCGCTATGACATGCACTGACTATAAGGGGGCAGTTGAGGAACAAAGGAAGGCCCTGGCCGGCAGCTGACAGCCAGGAAAGGAAGGCCCCAGCCAGCAGCCAGAAGGCCCCAATCAGCTGATCACCGGCCAGGCCTAGGGACCCTACTCGTGCATGCATTTTGTGTGACAGGCCTCAAGTAGTAATAATAATGATAATAATAATAATAATAATAGATATTTCCTATAACATTCACAACACTGGGAAAGTCTTACAGAAACTAAGCCTTTTCCTCCTCGAGTGATGCCTTCTCTAAGACCAGCCGGTTGCTTGTTCATGGCTTCTCTCCTCTTCTGTTGGTAGTCTTCATCCATAGTTATAGCTGCTACCCCTTTAGCCATAGCACTGGTGATTTTGGAGGCAGCACCAGCTAATCCACCTAGGAGAAATTAACAAATCTTTAGTAAAAGCAAATATATCATTACTTTCTAGCATAATCACATTCGCGAGGCATTCTGTTTCTTACCAACAGCTCCCCCAACTAATGCCTTCAATCCTAGTGCCATTCCTTCCACAAACTCTTCAGGACCCTGGATGGCTCCCTAAAGGATCAAAAATAACAACAAATAAGATTATGTTTACCTTTAAAAGTGCACTAATTGATATGAAGAAAATAGTAGCGACAAAAAAAAAAAAAATGATGTCCCTGAGAAAGTGACACCAGAAGAAAACTTCACATTAACAGAAGTCTCAGATATTTCATGACATTGCAAGTGAAAAGGATTAAGTGTTGCAAGTTAATCCAAACTTAGGAGAATGGCTATTCATCAAAGTGTACAAAAGATGTTTGTTCTGTATGTTGTATGATAAGAAGGTGAACACACACTACCCTTGATAATTTTTTATGAAATAAATAAAAACACTTTCATTCCTAATATATCTAATGTTTTAAATTATATTGTACAAAATAAATATGTTTTTCTATTTTTTCATTATCATCTACTCTTTTAAGTGTGAAAGTAGCAACATGTTTTAACATTCTGGCAGAAATTTTTAAGGGACATAGAAAAATCATAATTTCTGCCATTGATTGAGATTGCTTTGCACAGTGCTAGCTGTGCATACTATTGTGCATAGCAAAACTGCCTGTCCATAATACTCTTCCTTCTACTAGAGTGTGAAGTTTACCCACCTTTAATTTTACAACAGAACACTTAAAATTCAGTATATTTGTTTAAAGTCTTAAGTTTAAAATCTGAGGGAAAACGTAAAAATTTCCTCCCAAATTTCTCAAAAGCTGTTAACACTGTTCGCTGCAAAATAATGTGCCTTTGTGACTCACAAAATCTATTTACATCTGCAACTCAAGTTAACAATTGGAATGCATTATTTTTTCAACAGTATCTGTGTGATATGTTGCACAATGCAAGAATAACTGTTTTACCTGGTAAGGTTCATAGAAAAATGCTTCTACACCTTCAGAAAATTCTCTAATCAAGCCAAAGGGATTTCCCAAAACTTCAAGTCCAAGAATGAGTACATACATTTGTTTAATGGCCTAAAAAGAAAACATAAACATTAATCAATTTGGATTATCAAGCTTAATATTTTTTTCTTAAATTTAGTACACACATCCAATTTTTCAGGCTAATATCCTTATCATCAATTTCAACACCTAAACCATATATTAACTTATTCGTCACTAGTCAGTTTTTAAAAAGCAATTCAGTGTTAGAGTATTAGAAATAATGTAAGATTTACATAATACTTTAGAATATTCAAACTACTTGTACTTTTACAACTATGTGTGAAAGTTGTTAATACTGCCATCATTTTATAGACTGAAGAAATATACAGGACAAATGATGCCTAGGGCCAAACAGAGGTTGAATGGCAAATCCGGAATCCAAACCCCGACCTCTTGAGTCATGCTCAATGATCTGTCCATTATTCAACAGCTGTCTCAGATGCCCTATAAGTTATATAAAAATACTGGAATCTTTTCAAATGTGGGAAAAAAAATCCACTAAAATAATATATCTAGAAGACTTAGTAACTCAATTACATTAAAAATATCCTGTGTTCGCCCTCACCAGTTTGGTTCAGTGGATAGAGTGTTGGCCTGCACACTGAAGGGTCCCAGGTTCGATTCCAGTCAAGGGCACATGCCCGAGTTTTGGGCTCGATCCCCAGTAGGGGGACATGCAGGAGGCAGCTGATCAATGATTCTCTCTCATCATTGATGCTTCTCTCTCTCTCCCCCTTTCCTTCCTCTCTGAAATCAATAAAAATATATTTTAAAAAAATACCCTGTGTTCATCAATTACTAATAGTTTCCTTTGAACCTAGTTTTTTAAGTAAGTGTGGTGAATTACTTAATATTTTATTTAAAGGTTTATGTGTAGTCTACATTGTTCCAGAAAAGATTGGGGACATAGCTAAAAATTAGAAGGACAGAAAATTGAAAGGCCATTCTCTTTTTTTTAAATTTTTACTTTTTGAATTTAGAAAGAGAGAGAGAGAGAGAGAGAAACATCAATTTGTTGTTCCACTTATTTATGCATTCACTGGTTCATTCACATATGTGCCCTGACAGGGGATCAAACTTGTAACCTTGGCATATTGGGATGAAGCTCTAAAAACTGAGCTACTTGGCCAGAGCCTCTTTCTACAATTCTGAAAATAAAAAACATGTCTTAAATTTTTGAAAATGGCTATTAACTTCCTTGCCAAATCTACATTATATAGGTACAGACACATACAGTTTCACTATTTTATATCACTCTGCCCCTTTGTAAAATAATCTCAGACAAACCTGTTTTGAATAGTGTCTTACTACTTCAGACTGCAGTTCAGATGTTGTATGAAACTGATAGTTGAGTTCAAAAAATGCAAGCCTGAAAAAGAAACCACATTAAAAATGTGTAAATGTGTAGGTATGTGCATGGAGAGAGGGTGAGAGGGAGACAGGCAGAGAGGGAATAAAATCTTTAATGTTAAGATTTCATTTTCTTTAGAATTTTTCTCCAAATCTTTCCTTTCAGTCTTTTCCCATGCCAACCAGAAAGCCTACTCTTTTACATACATCTCTGCACATTCTGGTCAAAAAAGCTCTAAAAATCTGATGAAAGCTATGGATCTTACCCTCAGAAAAGCCACTAACATACACACATTTTCCACATAATTTAGAGGATCAGAGAGCCCTTGGATCTATGAACATGAACTTATATTTGTCAACTTAGTCCTATCATGGCTCACATAGAAAATGTTTGACACACTGAGATAAATGTAAGTGGTTGCTCAAGAATGACCAGGGTTCATTGCTGCAGGGCCTGCCTGAACAGCCTACGGCTGAGGAATGAAGGTATGTTTACTTATAACCTGTTCCCAGCATACACCCAATCAACTAATTGGAAAGCTCTATGCTAGCAGATAAGATAGCAAGACTAGAATTCTCACTTTATTCCTGATATGATGTCTTCAAATCTGTTCTTTAATTTGACTGTTACCTAACTTTACCCAGACTCAGAGATATCTCTTACTGGATTCACTGATTCTTATTATTTTTAGTAACAGTTCTAGGTGGTAGTTGAAAAGGGCATTCTTATCTGAAGTCTCCACTCAGACTTGGACACTCTTTGGTCAGATACTCTATCTAATAGCTCCCACAATTACTCAAAGTTAAGTTCCTGATGCTAACATTTAAACTGATCCCTTCATTTGCCCTGTCATGACATTCACTTTTTCTAGTCACATATACTTTGAAGAGTCTTGATCCGCCTTAAAGTCACATCTTTTAAGCACCACACCTTTGGGCACACACAGCTGCTTAGAATTCTTCCCTAGACCAGACAGGCCTTAAAGAGTGCACCAACATGCATGACTCCTGTCTCTATTTCTTAAAGAAATTATTTAACAACTAATTTGTTTTTCAATAGTTAAGGATTAACAGGTGTATGTTACCTAAGTTATTTTACACTTAACAACAAAACCATCTTGTGCCTAAGATCTGCAGTGTACTTTACACATTTTTCACTTATAAATTTTTGGTGAATATAAAATGGACTTTTCATCAATTTGTAGATTTGAATTTAAACATACTTAAAAACTACATCTTGTACATCTGTAAGAGTGGCGCCAATACTCTTCAGCAAGAGATTTAAAGAACTAATTGCAATGAATCCTTCATGCTGTTCTGAGTCTTTAGCTGCTTCTTTACCCGAACTCAGTGAAACACTTAAATGCAACTAGAGAGATAAAGAGATAAGTATTTAAATCAGTACCTTCATAATGACAATATTAATTTTTAATATTCAATTTTATTTTAAAGTCACTACACCACAAATAAAATTTCAAAGATATCAGGACTGTGCCAAATTTAATAAGTGAAAAGTTTAAAAGATTTAAAATCTAATACAGTTCTTTTTAAATTTTAAATTCAGCAATGTATGATGATATATTTAGCTCAATCCAATTCTTTTGGTAAAGCTAAGAAAATATTAACATTTATACATTGTTAGTGACAATAATATCTAGAAGTTAAAGTTGCTGAAATAAATATCTCCACAAGTGAATGTTTTAACTATAAGAACTAAGGTAGCAGGATGTTAAAAGCACTTTTGTATTGTATGCATATACATGCTGTATACTCAGCTATACAATAATTTTCTTCAAGTATTCTGTAAGTAACTCATAAAAACTTTGTGTTAAGAACTTATATTTAGTTCCATCCAATCTTCAAATCTTAAATTAAGATTAATTTATAAATTAAAATGTATACACTATAGTTAGTACTGTATTGCATACTTGAAAGTTGCTAAAGGAGGAATCTTAAAAGTTCTCATCACAAAAAAAAATAAATTATAATACTGTATATGGACAGATGGTAATATATTGTGATGATCATTTCAGTCTACAAATATCAAATCATTACACTGTACACCTGAAATAAATTTAATGTATCAATTACAACCCAGTTAAAAGAAAAACTTATACATACATCAACAAAAAATTTAGAAAACTGTCATTAAATACTTTAACACTAAGGAAATCTGTTAGGTCAAGACATAAACATATAAACACATGCTGTGGGTAGCTCCACTATTAGTTCCATATGGTGAAAATTATTGTAAGAATAAAATTTTTAAAGGGTTATTAAATTTGCTATTACCTAGATTATCATAGATAATAAAAATAACTTATTTTTCCCTACCTTGATAGGAGATATATGAAAATACTCATAGAGACTGACTTGTGATGAATCTACTAATGAAACTGTTTTATATTCTTCTTGGAAAACTTCTATATCTTTATGAAAAAGTTCAACCTATAAAGGAACATAAAGTATTAAAAACTTAAGGGACCTATCTTCAGGAAGTAGTTAAGCCAATAGCTCACACACTGCAGAACACTCCCCTGTAATATCCAGATCCAACATCATTCATAATTAGGAAGATACTGCCTGAGGAGAGAAACTAATATTTCTTTTGTTAGGAAAGTTCTGTCTGTCGCTCGGAAACTGATAAGCATATCTTCTATGTTTCCATCTAATCCATTAAAAGACGCTAAGCTTTTCCTCATGTGACTACAGATTTTACTCGAAAAGGCCACTAATCTAATCCATTTATTTTTGTTTTGTAATAAATAATGTATTTATTTTTTTAAATAGTCAAGTATTGCACTTTTTTACAATTCTTGCAGCACACCAGTGTGCCACAGTGCACCAGTTGAAAATCGTTATTCTAAATTATTAATCTAAACAAAAGTAACCAAGGAAAGTAAAATTGAAAAAAAAAAAACAGTAATGTGAACATGACTGATTATCCTCTTCCTCCTACTATTGATTTAAATCTTTCCTCCTATTTGCTATCTCACGTTTAAAAGACTATTTTAACTTGTCTTGCTTAAGACTATTCGTGTCTTCTATAATCTAAAAAAATGATTTCTGCCAATGTACTCACCACAGCAGCGTAATAAAAATATTTTTAAAATGAAACAAAACCATTTTAACACTTTAAGAATTTATCAGGAGGGTTGGGGGGTGGGGGTAAGAGATCAACCAAAGGACTTGTATGCATGCATATAAGCATAACCAATGGACACAAGACACTGGGGTGTAGGGGAGGCCGGGGGAAGGTCAAGGGGAGAAAAAAAAGGAGGCATATGTAATACTCTTTGTAATACTTTAAGCAATAAAACAAAATTTAAAAGAAAAAAGAATTCCTTTGGCGGGGGAGCGGGGCGAGAAATAATTTATCAGGATAGCTAACATTTTTCTCAGTCCTTTTCCGAATCCTTACCGTCAATGCTATTATTTTAAGTCTTACCTCCGTTTTTTCAGTTACTTCAGCTTCTGTCATAAGTTCTGCTAATGCATAGACAAACCCAAGATCTAACCTGAGATCCATTTCTTGGATCAACACTTTGAAGTATCTATATTACAAAGTAGAAAATATGAAAGGTCATCAATTAACAGTATTAAAAAAATTAGATAAAGAAAAAAGTATTAAATATTAGAATGTTAAAACTTAGAACTTTCTAGAGGAATGTCATGGTAACACTGTTCATAATAGCAACAAACTCAAGTATGAAAATGCCTATTATAGAGAGGAAATCTATAAGTAAACTGTGGTATACAGTCATCAAACATTATTTATTAGTGTTTATAGATAAATTCTAGCTACATACCACAAAATGAATACATTTTACTAAAAAGCTTAATAAAAAAAAGCAAGTCCCAGGAGTATTGTACGGTTTGAAAAAAAAAATTTTAATTAGAAGGAGAAAAGGGAAACTAAGAAGCATAATGTTTAGGTACACATTAGATAGATATTATTTAAATTATAATAAAACTATAATTTGAAAAGCAAGGGAATAGCCCAGGCCAGTGTGGCTCAGTTGGTTGGAGCATTGTCCCATACATTGAAAGGTGGTGGGTTCAATTCCCAGTTAGGGCACATACTGAAGTTGTGGATCTGATCCCTGGTTGGGGCACTTGCAGGAGGCAACCAATAGATGTTTGTCTCTCACATCCATGTTTCTCTCAAAAAAAAAAAGAAAGAAAAATCAATGAAAAAAATCCTCAGGTGAGGATTTAAAAAAGAAAAAAGCAAGAGAATAATGTTTGTCTTGGTAATAGGGCAGAGAAAACAAGAAATAAGGGAATAATACATAGATGAATGTTTCTATAAATGTTAGATTTCTTGCACTGGGTGGTGACTGAATTTGAAAATACTATTTTCTCTTTTGTTTCTAACACTATGCAGTAATTATAGAGAACTTGAGAAAACAAATAAACAAAAAGGAAAATAAAATGCCCATAATTTAGAAATAACTTTTGTTAATACCTAGGTGTATTTCATTTAGAGCCTTCTGATTCTCCACTATTATAAAATAATTAATAGACGTTTTCTATGACCTTCATAATTTAATACTGTACATTTAAATCTTTGACTTATTTGAAATTTACTTTTTCTAAAGAGCACAGTTTAAATCAAAACATTAAATAAATACACAAGGAATGTATTAGGACACTTACTTAATACGTGATATCTGGGAATGCCCTGCAGATCTCATGACAATACTGACATCTGTAAAGGGCTTGGGTGCTGTAAAGGGTAATAAATATGATTAATTCCATGATGCTTTAAAAAAAGACAAGCAGCATTTTCTTACCATGTAATACACATTACAATGGCTAACTAAATTATTTTCTAAATGGTGAATATCAATTAAAATTACTAATATTTGCATGACCCATTATAGTCTTAATTTCAGACTCCAGGATTGTTTTTATACATTATCTATACTCCTCTGAGGATTACTAATCCTTTAAATTAGTGAGTTTAAACTAGAAGCAAGCATTAGAACCATCAGGGAAACTTTGTGGAAACACAGATTTCAGGATCTTGCCCTTGACTTCTAGGTGAAAGGGCTTGGGCATGTATACTGGTCAATAAGCTTCCAAGCAGATTATGAATACTACTTTAGATAGTTTAGTCAGTGGTATGAAGGTAACTGTGGAAAGAAAAAGGAGCGGGGGAGCAGGGTAGTGGGAAGAGAAAAGAAAGTGAGGGGAAGAGCAACAGCAAAGAAAGAAGGTGAAGGGAAGAGAGGATGGAAGAAAGGACTTGTAATCATTCTCAACTGGGGATTAGGACAGTTCCTGTGATTAGAAAACAGTCTGAATTTGAACTTCCTCACAATTTATTCAAAGGTCTCAGTGGCTTTTAAATCAGAGTTTTAAACATTGTAATTTTTTAAAAGTAGCATTTCTAAACATTAAAATATATATTTCTAATTAAACTTTTCTTCAGTATTCAAAGTTTTGTTGAAGTTAGCTGAGTAAAATGGTTTCATTTCATATTATTATAGTAAAATAAACCAAACAGTTAATACAACCACTTTTATAGCAATCTAAAGATATAGACAAACCTGAATCCATGGTGACTGACTTGGGAGGCTTAATAGGATAAAATACAAATGGAAATACAGCACCATGTATCTGGTTTTGGATCTAAAAAACAAACAAACAAACAAACAAACAAAAACCCAGGTTAGTATGTTCATATGTTAATTATAGAACCTGACTAGAATAACAAGATTTAAGAAGGAGAAGGAATCAAAAAGTCTAGTCCCACACTGAAACGGAAGTGTTAAAATAGACCATAAGAATAAATTAGTTTAATTTATAATACAATTTGACTATCTATTCAGACTCACCTGTATTCTATAAATTTGAATTCTAAATGATGACTGATGTGCAGATGTGTTATATTCCACGTTTAATGCTGGCAGATAATTTCTTCGTATAGCTATTATATGTGGTTGCAGAATTTTCATGTTATTGCCACTAGGTGTAAAGCGAACCTGAAAAACATGGCATCCCCCCAAAACACATAGAATTCCTATTTACTCATAACTGATTAAAATTAGAAATGTGTACCAAAATTTTAAAAATACTAATTAAAATAATAGGCTAAATATTCAATTAGGTTTAGAATGAGAACTTTATAGCCCATATCCATACAATTCACAAAAACATTCAGATATTCCTTAGAGCTTGGTTGTATCACTTTTTATGTAAATTTACTAAAATTTACCCAAAACAAGTGAGAAATATAAAATAACATTACAAATAATTAAAAAATAAAAAGTTACTGGCTTGTTAACCAAGGAATAGATCACTAGTATCTCAAGAGAAAGTCTGAGTTTTTAATATTTTATATTAAGTATGTATGATAACATTCACTGTTTTGTAAGGAAATAAGACTTAAATATTAACTAGTGATTAATCTAATTATAATAGATAAAAATTAAAACTTCATATCAGTACTTAAAAATATTACCGGAATATTAGTGTCCAACTCAATAACCTTATCTTCTGAAGGTGAAGATTCAATATATTCCTTAAATTCTTTCTCTAACTTCTCAGTGTGCTTTATACTCATTGGCTTCCATCTTGCCTTCTTCTTGGGCTTTGTCTCCCAAACCACATCAGAACTTACATATGAAAGCAAAAATCATGGTACTAATTTATATACATTTTCATTTTAACTGGTTTATTACATGAATTACAAAATCTTGAGTAAAAATTTTGCAATATCCTCAATTCAACCAATCACATTAAATTCCTACTTAGGCACCATTCTTGGTAGTAGGAATTCTAGCAGTGAACATTACTGCCATTCTTTAGCTTCATTTTAGCTGAGGACTGATAGAAAGAACGTCATAAATATAGTAACTTAGCATATTTAATATATTAGGAGGTGAAATGCTTTTGAAAGAAGAAAAAGTAGACAAGGAAAGGTGGACATGGAGTATTGGGATATGCAAAGTTGTGGGTTGCAGTGTTAAAAGTGAGTAGTCAACAGGGGTGTCATGGAAGTAAGATTTCAAGAACTTAGAGATCAGGGAATTTATCCAGAAGACAACAGGAGAACATTTCAAGCGGAGGGACCAGTTAGAGCAAAGACTCTGTGAGCATGCTTGTAGTATATGAAGAAGAGCAAGGAGGCTGGCATACTTGGAACACATTAAGAGTAGAAGACGACCTAGACAGTCTGGTTCAGTAGACAGAGTGTGCGGGAAGAAACTCATCCATGTGTCTCTCTCACATCAATGTTTCTCTCTCTTTGTCTGTCCTCCTCCCTTCCACACTCTGTAAGTCAATGGAAAAATATCCTCAGGTGAGGATTAAAAAAAAAAAAAGAGTAGAAGATGAAGTAAGACAGGGGCCAAATAATGGGAAAGCCTTGTAGGATATTGTAAAGACTTGGAGTTTTACTCTGAGATGAATAACAGTTGAAAGATTATGAGAAGATCAGTGACACGATCTGACTTAAGCTTTGTTAGAAATACACTGCTGGGATAGGGGTAAGAGAAAAAGGGAATGATGGCTAGAAGCAGAAAAACTTACTAGGAGTTTAATGTAGTAAGCTGGGAGAGAAATGGTGAGGGCTCTGCCTAGGGTGATAACACTGAGGTAGTGAAAAGTGGTCAGATCCTACGTATGTTTTGAAGGTAGAGCCAGCACATAGCCCCTAGATCAGCGGTTCTCAACCTGTGGGTCGCGACCCCTTTGGAGGTCAAATGACCCTTTCACAGGGGTCGCCTAAATACATCCTGCATATCAGATATTTACATTACGATTCATAACAGTGGCAAAATTACAGTTATGAAGTAGCAACGAAAATAATTTTATGGTTGGGGGTCACCACAACATGAGGAACTGTATTAAAGGGTCACGGCATTAGGAAGGTTGAGAACCACTGCTCTAGATGGATTAGATGTGGGGTGTGAGTAAAGAGATGAAACAAAATGATTCCAACACTTTTGGCCTGAGTAACTAGAAGGATGTATTTGTCATTAACTTCAATGAGGAGGCAGACGTGGTAGGATATCAGGAAATGGGTTTTAAACATATAAAGTACTAGAGACCTGATGCACGAAATTCATACTCTGGATGGGGAGGAGGGGAGGGAGGTCCCTCAGCCTGGCCTGCACCCTCTCACAGACCAGAAGCCCATGGGGATGTCCGCCTGCCAGCTTAGGCCTGCCTGTTCACTGCTCCTTACAGCTCGGCTTGCTGCCCCTTAGCACTGCCACAGAGGTGGGAGAGGCTCCCGCCACCACCGCTGCCCTCACCAGCCATGTGCCCGGCTTCTGGCTGAGTGGCACTCCCCCTGTGGAGCATACTTACACCAGGGGGCAGCTCCTGTGTTGAGCGTCTGCCCCCTGGTGGTCAGTGCGCATCATAGCGACTGGTCGGTCGATTTGCATATTAGGGTTTTATATAGATAGTCTCTTAGGTATTTTAGTACGAATTTTATGTAGGCAGCTGGATATACATGCCTGGAGTTCATGAAGAAAAATCTGGCTGAAGATGTATTTCTAGAAAATTTGGCTTATATGTGGTATTTGAAATCATAAAACTGAAACAGAGAAGAGGATTAGGTTTGAGAATATCAGGGCACCCAATGGAGAAGACAAGGAACCAACAAATGAGACTGAGAATGTTGGGAGAAAAAGAAAAATCAAGGTAAGAAATCCTGGAGGTCAGTCAAAGAAGGAATCTGTGTTAAACGTTATGAACTTTTAAGCAACAAGGGGGTTGGATATTGTACTTCGGACCTGGCAATACACACATCCCTAAGGTGCTCTTGGTAGCACCAGTTTCATGGTACATTGAGAGCCAAAGCCTATTGGGAGTGACTAAAGAAAAAAAATGGGTAAAGAAGAATTGAATGTAGTGAATATATTTAAGTCTTTTGTCATGAACAACACTTTTGGGCAGTTTGGCTATAAAGGGAAGCAAAGAAATAGGCAGTAGATAGCAGAGAAAGTAGGATCAAGAAAATAAAATTTAAGTTGAGAGAAATAACACTGATGAGAACAATCCAAAAGAGAGTCAGAAATTGTGGACAGGAGAAAGAAAAAAGAGAATTGCTAGATCAGTGTCTCAAAAAGTAAAAGGGAACAGAATACAATGCAAAAGCAGAAAAATTTGTTTAAATAGCACATATGATATACCTATGATAACTGTGGGTAAGTATGTCAGCATAGTATACAGGTAATAAATGCTGGTGAGTAGGAAGTTGATATTGGGGGGGTGGGTCTTTGAAAGTTCCTTTTTGATTGCTTCAATTTTCTCAGTGAAATGGGATGCAAGGCAGTGAGCTGAGAGAGGAAATGGGGGTTTAAAAAGAGACAGAGTGTGAAACAATCTAGGAAAATGAGAGAATTAATGAAACAAATCTATTTCAGTGAAAAATTGCCAAAAGAATTAAATATAGAACAAAAAATCTACCCATATTCTAAAATTACTTCACTCTTTCTGTTTTAATATGTAAATTATTTAATTTTATTTAAGTACTCTATTTGTTTATTCCTTCTAAAATTTATATTCACTTAATTTAAAAAAAGATAGGAACCATGTGTTACTCCCACTTGCATTCACACCATAGCATAGGACATAGCCCATAACAGGTTGTCTATTTGACATTTTTGTTTAAATAATAAACATTTTTTAGGAATACATATTTCTAAGAAAATAGTTTTTAATATTCCTTTTAGAATATATTCCAGTCAATGAAGAGTTAGGGACATTTCTAGATGCATTTATTTAAAAAAAATTTAAATCTGGATTATATATCGTTTATACATTATACATCTTTTATATAAAGATATATGATATATATACATATACATACACACACACACACACACACATATATCTGTATATTAGTTTAAGTTAAAAGATCCTGGTTATATAGACTGGAATCCAGCAATACCCTCAAATTAGTTACTAATACACATAAATTAATTTTACTGTAAGTATTTGTAAACAGGAGTATTACGGGCATAGGGAAAACAAAGTTTTACTAGTGGTGACTTATTTGGGGAATAATAAATACAGTATCACCTTATTAGCTCTTAAAGTGTTAAGGTGAAATTAGAACGTGATTGTCTTTATTCCTTGAACCACTATTTAAGGAGCATCAACATACCCTGCATTTTGGTGGAATAACATTATGGCGTGTTAAATAAAGAAAGTAGACTTTTGATAAGTTGAATAAATCTAACTTTTTAGAGAATGAGAGAATGAACAAAGGGATTTATGAATTTGATTTATCATATATCTTTATCTCAAGGGCAAAAAAAATCTCACAAGCATTTTAAAATTAACATTATCTTAGTATTATGGCTAATCAAAACAAAGATGTTAAACTAAATTATTTCAGATTTTACAATCACCATTCTTGATGATAAAGAACTGATCGTTTAAATTTATCCAAATTATAATGCATCTAACCTTGTAATGCCAATATAGGCTACTTCTTGCTTTGTGTAATTGTTGACGAGAGAAAGTCCAACATCTTGTAATGCCAACACAATTTCTTGCTCTGCTAATTCTGCTTTCTCATTTTCATATGTCACTTTAAATACCTTTGGATCTTCAGTGAATAAAATAATGCGTTGTAAGCCTTCAAAGAATGAAACTAAATAAATAGTCTTTGTCCCCAAATTTATAGGTGTCATCATATCCTAAAATAAAACCACCAAAAAATAAAAAATTAAGAGTATGGCACCAACCAACATTTAAACTAATATTTAAAAAATGAGAATAGTAATGGCGCCTCCTTCACAGGGTCAAACAAACTAAATGAATTAATATTTGTGTAACAATGGAAATTTACATAATTACAATAATTTGATATCTGCTTCTGCCATTACTATTATAAAGTTATTAGCAAGGAAGACACATCAATTATTCTTTTATTAATATCCTGATAAAGTCTAATTAAATAGTCTTCCTGTGTAGGCTTATCAATAACACAAAGCATTATTTTCTCTCCTTTATCCTAAGACTAACCAATGCATTATTTATTTTTAAGTCAGAAATTCATATTTCCTTACAGAGCTGAAGTAAATAGGATAAAACATATCTGACATCTCAATTGCATGCTCTACAAAACATGGATATTCAGCACAGGTGAGTAATTCTGCAGGAAGCCTTTATATATAAGCACTGCACTGTTATCAGGGTCTTGAGGTTCAATGACAAGATAAATATAGCAAATTCTAATAATTAACAGTTACCCATGAATTTCTAGTTAAGTAAATATTCTGATTAAGAATAAATTTTAATATAGAGTACACATTTGTTATAACCCACTGATATTAAAAACTGGAGTTGTTACTGTAAAATCAGTATCTAGGAACAAACATGTTGCTTATAATTCTTTCTAAAATAAAATATATAGCAATAAGCTAACTTATTTTCAAATATTTATACAGTATTTCTAATATTTCATAGTGGATTTCAGATTTAGCTTTATAATATTCAACTATCATTATGGCATAAATATGCAAAATTACTAACCAACAGATCAAATAAATAAGACGTTGGAATAGGGGTCAAATTAAGACGGATTTTAAAAGACTAATAAAATTTTAATTTTTAATTGTTTAAAAACAATTTCTAAAAAACAACAACAAAAAAACCCCAATTTCTGAAAGCCATTGAAAATATTACTGGAAAATGTTTATGTACAACTTTATCATTATGAAAACCATATCAATAATAGCTTGCTACCAGAAATAAATTCTTTAGTTAGTAGATCCCTAGATGTTCCTCACAGAAGTGAAAATGGCCTAAGATGACTGTCAATGAAGAGTATATCTGTTCATGAGGTGAATGCTGAAAGCCCCTCTCTAAATACAATTTACCTTTATACCATAACTAGAGGCCCGTTGCATGAAATTCGTGTGTGTGTGTGTGTGTGTGTGTGTGTGTGTGTGT